TTCTGTTAATAAATGCCATGATCAAATTAACAGCCAAGTTCTTGGGAATCAAGACTCCATTAGCCTATGAATGGATGAAATTCGGAGGGAATAAATTGCATAACGGGTTGAACTTCGCTTATGGAGGGAGTGGCGTTTTCGACACTTTAGGTGATATTTTGCCGAACATGACCACTCAAATCGATTTCTTGGAGAAATTAATGCGTCAATTTCTATACACCAAATCCGACTTGCAGTCGTCAGTGGTTCTTGTTTGTCTTGCGGGTAACGATTATGGTGCATATGTGTTTAGAGAAGGCACAGATCAGGTAAATTTTTTATTCGTTTGGGATTTTTCAAGACTTTAGAAATCATAATGTGTTTAATTTGGACTTTTTAAGATTTTTAAAAGTCTTAGTATTCATTTGAAATTAAATGTCATACAAAATTTTAGGGTATTTAACATATTTGAAACTATGATTTGTTAAGACTTTTTAAGATTTACTGGAATTTCAAACGAACGAAAACATACTCCAAATCTCACTTCAAACTTTAGATTTCATTAGTATTTCTTCAAAATCTTAAAAAGTTCCAAAACGAATACACCTTAAATATTTGTTTATTACTACATAATTCGTTTCGTGTTTAAAAGTGTCTTTTTAGAGCCTGCTGTCCTTGGAAATATATAGGTTTGTCGATTAGCATTTCCCTATACTTAATACCTAATTATTTTAATAATTAATTAAAATGAAATTAATTTTATAAAATATAATGAATAGACAAGTATATAATTGACTGGGGGAGTAGTAGTCAGAGTACTGCATTTCTTAGTTACTAATAGAAACTCGATAACGACACCACAAGGATAAAATCTTATCATATGTTATTTGCATGTATATGAACACAATAAAATCTTATTATATGTTATTGCATGTATATTAATACAGTATTATCAATTATGATAGCATGAAAACTTTGTTTTCGATAATTTAAAAAAGAAAAGTAAAAAATAGCCAAATCTATATATCTATTTATTAATCTTTTTTGAAGACTGGAAACATGTAGAATATGGTTTTGGCTGCACCAGCTAACAGGTTGGAAAGATATGAACGGAAAAGGAAAAAAAAAAAAAAATCAATTTTCTTGTTATTATTTATTTATTTTGCAATGGTTATGCGAAGAAAACTGAGATTTTTCCTTTCATTGTGTGGTAGTTATAAATTAATAAATTACAACAAATGGCGAGCATTGAAAGTAGGTGGTTGTGAGTTGTCACACTACACCACATTAGTGGCAATAAGCCTTATATGTGGTTGATGATTTTTGTCTTTTTTTCCTCGTAAAATATGAATCCAAGTGAATTAGGTGGCATAATTAATTTCTTTGAACGACTCATAGGCAATAGTACAATTTCTTGATCCAAATTCCGGGTAGACTAAAATCCGGTCCAAATGCAAGACCTAACCCGGATCCGGCTTTAAATCTACCGGTCTTAATCGATCGCAGGTCATACAACACTACAAACATATACTATATACTATTAGGCTTGTAAACAAATTAAATTTTTTTGATTCGATTCGATATTCGAATTCGATATTCGTGATTCGAATTCGAATTTGAATACGAATAATGTTTTATATTCGAAAGTTAAACGAATCCGAATTCGAATTTGTAAATATTCGATTCGAAATTCGAATATTCGATTCGTTAACAATAATTATATAATTTTATAAATTATATATAGTATACATTTTGTTTATAATATATATGTATATATATATATATTGTTATATTCCTACTATTTTTATGACATAAAAAGTAAAATCATCATAAATTAACAAATTTTCTTAAAAATATATGAAAAATAAAAATTATTTTTTGTAATTATTATTTTTTAATTATAATTTTTTTTGAAAACGAATTTCAAATCGAATTGAATATGTGCGAATATTCTAAACGAATCTGATACGAATAAAAAAATGAGTTCGTTAACGAATCGAATACGAATTCGAATCTTCGAATATTTTAATGAATCCGAATCGAATCTCTGAGTATTCGCTTTGATTCGATTCATTTACAACCCTATATACTATTGCTTGCAATGTATGAGTCTATTTAATTTGTGATTTTATTTGAATCTACAAAGCATACACAAAAATGCAATACGATTCGAATTCAACTACAGAAATAATTTGAAATATTGCTTCCAATATCTCAATTCATCAATTTTTCAAATAAGTGTTCCAAAAAAGGATTTTACTTTTTTAAGGAACAAATATTATTGAAATATTGATAATAAAGAATTCATTTTCTATCAAAATATCCAATGATTGTATTTATACTTCACTTGTTAACTTTACTTCGTTATGCTGTATGTTGTTGTTTTCCAAAAACATTTTGTGCTCAGAAAAAAAAATAAATAAAAAAAAAAATCAATATTATTAAAATTGTTAAAATATAAAATTATATTTATTCAGGGCCTGCAAAATTACATCCCACTTGTGATCAATCAACTGGCCATCAACTTGAAGCGAATTCATGGGCTTGGGCCAACAAAAATCGCGGTGACGGCTCTGCAGCCATTGGGCTGCCTTCCCCGTACGACTGAAACGTCGTCGTTTCAGCACTGCAATGCCACCCAGAACTTATTAGTGGGCTACCACAACTCTCTTTTGCAGCGGGCCGTGGCCCAGTTAAACAACGAGACCAAGAGCCCGACCTTTTTTATCCTCGACCTCTATAACTCCTTTACTAGTGTGCTCCAGCAGAAAGGAGATTCTCAAGGTATTTTTTTTTTTTTTTTTTTTTTTTTTTTTTTTTTCTTTTTTTTTTTGTGTTTTTTTTTGTTTAATGAGTTTGGCCGATTGTGTTTTGATAAAACGTGTTGGGCCTAAATGGCCGCTCGCATGCTTCGGGATCCTATGTGGCAACATTACATACTTCGTTATTAGGTTCAGGTAGATTTTAATTTACTTCCAATCCAAAAATAATTAGGTCCAGATTATACATAAATATGTTTATTATTTATGGTCATGTTACATGTATTAATTGTATTTTAATATCATTTCTTATTATAACCATTGAATTGTAAATGTATTTTAAAAGTTAATAACTTTTCTATTTTTTATCATTATTACATATATAATATATCAAATTAATCATCTTTTGATTAGCTTCGATTTAACATTCATATTATATGTATAAAAATATAAATTATATTTATCTTTCTAACAATAATAAAATTATTTTTTAATATTAATTAGAAAAATAAAATTATTTACCAATTAATATATTTATATTTCAAGTAGTTATATGATATAAGTTATAAAAATTACTATAGCATTGTAAGTCGCACAAGTAACGAGTGTCATTCTAAAATATATAATAATATATATTTTTTTGTAAAAAAGTAAATAAAATTTAAAATATTTTTTCTCATTAATTTTAAAATTTAAGAATAATTTTTTAACAAGCACCTGTGTAATACACAAATGATGAACTAGTTAATATTGGATTCAGAAAAACATTCGGACCCCAAAATTAATTATATGCAAATTAGATTAGCTAATAAATAAAGAATCCCCTATATATTAATTCATAACTTGCCGGGCCTAAGTGGCAGACTCGCATGTTTTAGGATCCTATGTGGCAACATTACATGATTCGTTTGAGTAGATTTTAATACTTCCAATCTGAAAATAATTAGGTCCGAATTATCCATAAATATGTTGATTATTTATGTCATGTTACATATATTAATTTTATTTTAATATCATTTCTTATTATAATCATTGAATTGTAAATGTATTTTAAAAGTTAATAACTTTTGTGTTTTTTATCAGTTTTACATATGTAATATATCAAAGTAATCATCTTTTGATGAGTTTCAATTTAACATCCATATTGTATGTATAAAAAATAAATTTTATTTATCTTTCTAACAATAATAAAATTGTTTTTTTAATATTAATTAGAAAAACAAAATTATTTATCAATTAATATATTTATATTTCAAGTAGTTATATGATATAAGTTATAAAAATTACTATAATATAACACATCTAAGTCGCACAAGTAACAAGTGTCATTCTAAAATATATAATAATATATATTTTTGTAAAAAAGTAAATAAAATTCAAAATAATTTTTCTCGTTAATTTAAAAATATAAGAATATTTTTTTAACTAACACCCGTGTAATACACGGGTGACAAACTAGTTAATATTGGATTCAGAATAACATTCGGACCACAAAATTAATAATATGCAAATTAGATTAGCTAATAACTAAAGAATGGATATTAAATTAGCAGATTTTATCAGCTGATTAGATTAGCAAATTATTCAATTTTTTTGGTAATATCTAACCCATTTTTTATATGAAAAAATAACTAAAATTACAATCCTCTATTTTTATATTAAAAAAAAACTTATATTTTTACTTTTTTTTTTCAAATTAGTGTTTTGGATAAAAAAAAAAAATCTTTCAAATGTTACTAACTAAGCAAAAAAATTTGAAGTTGTGTTGGGTCAAACCTCAAACTTGGCCTCAAATTGCTAATTAGCCAAGAAGACCTACCTAATACAAGGGTATTTATCAAAAGACAAATTCTTGCATGGGACAGCGTAACCCTTATACGAGTCTTATATTTTTATTTAAACCTAAATACTTATATTATTAAAAATCATAATTTTGTTTATATTATTTTTAGAATATAACATTTTAATTTAGTAACATACAGAACTGTTGAAAACGTATGACTAGTTAACCTGCCTACCTCACTAAGTCACAACAGCCCTTTGGTTGGATTTGTGCCTAAAAATGATTGATTCAACTTTAAATTATGTGCATGCACTAGGCGATAATAATAACTGATGATAACTAATTCTTACATTCATTGTAATTTTGAATTTGATTACAATTATCCTTGCCTACATTGTAACAATTAATATTAATTTGAAACAGAGAACTTAAAATTCGAGACACCATTGAAGCCCTGTTGCATGGGCATCAACAGTTCATACTCTTGTGGCAGTGTCGACGAGAATCGTAACAAAATGTACACGGTTTGTAGCGACCCGAAATCGTCATTTTTCTGGGACTCGTCTCACCCAACCGAAGCCGGGTGGCGTGCTGTCTACACGTTGTTAAAGTCAGGACTTGAGCAATTATTTAAAAATTAATTGATTAATTAAGATATTTAATCTTGTATTAGTTAGCTGTGTGTGTATG